ATTCCCATGACAAAATGATCCAACCAAACGATGGAATAGGTCTATTCCAAGAAAAATTATTCCATTCCTGACCTATTCCATGAACCAAACATGCCATAAGTGTTCAAATTTTATTGGAGGAAAACAAATTGAATGGATAAAAATTATGATCACTCCTTTATATATTAAATAATCAAAACATGACACATAATATAGAGTAGAAAATGGAAGTGATGTTAGAGTTCACGGAGCGCGCATGTTTGGTGTATTAATTACTAACTGAAACTACAATGTATCTAAACTGACACTGCCTCGCGTATTATTTTTATATTATCAAGTGAACTTGCAATTGAAATGAAATGAAACTGTAGTTGTTTTGAAATGAAACTGCAGTGTATTATTGTGTATACAAAATGAAACTGAATAATAATTTCACATATTTGAGTGTATATTACCTAGCGAAACTGTAGTTATATCAAAATGATACTGTAGTTGTGTTGAAATGAAACTACAGTGTATATAAAATGAAACTAAATAACATTTCACATATTTGAGTGTATATTGTGCAATGAAGTTGTAGTTATATCGAAATGATCATGTAGTTGTGTTTTAATGAAACTATAGTGTATATAAAATACAATTAAATAACATTTTCACATATTTGAGTGTATAAATATCGAATGAAACTGTAGTTATATCGAAATGAAACTGTAGTTGTGTTGAACTGAAATTGCAGTGTATACAAAATGAAAATGAATAATAGAATTACTTTTTACAGAACAGCGCGAAATAATCAATTATGCACCGCGGTACACGATATAATTTGCCCACAATGTGCATCTTGGACTAATCTACCTGCTACTCATTCCGCTGCCAATCTGCTAATCCTTGAGCCCAATGACTCTGAGATTGAAAAGCCCATAAATACGTATCCAATCCTCTTTCTCAAAATTTATCCTCCTGAATCCTGATAACTTCTTTGGACCATTCTTAAAACGAGTGGCTGTCTTCTTGACCCGAATCATCTGAAAAAAGGTAAGGGAAGGGAGCCATGGCCCCAAAAATTCATCACCAAGAAACTAACCATGGCCACCGCTTTATCTCTCTCTAGTTCCTCTCTCTGGCACCACTACTGCAAACCCACTTCAAGAATCGCCTTGGGCTTCAAACTCAAATCCACACTATCAACCACAATCACCATGTCAGCTGCCCCCGGCACCACCACAAAGGTTTTGCCCGCTGTTATAGTAGGCGGCGGGCGAGTGGGGAAAGCCCTTCAAGACATGGGCAATGGCGAAGATGTGTTAGTGAAGAGGGGCGAACCGGTCCCCCTTGACTTTCCCGGTCCCATCTTGGTCTGTACCAGAAATGATGATCTTGAAGCAGTACTAGAAGCCACCCCCAAGTCTCGTTGGAGCGGTATGATAATTTTCCCACTCCTGATTATTTTCATTAAGCCAGTAATAATTGGTATGTTTCTGTATGATAATCAGATTGTTCTTAACTTGTTCTTCCAAAAAAAAAAAAGGAAAAGCTTGTTAATGTCTAAGTGGTTTTGATTCAAAACTTGAAGCTTATATTTAAATTCATGGTTTAGTTGATTTTGCCTCACAGCTTAGTTATATGCCTGGTGGTTTGATGATGTGAATTTGAAGGGAGACAACTGTTTTAGTTTCTGCTCATAAAGCTGTTATCTTTGAAGCATATCTGAGAAGATTTTGCAAATATTTACAATATGATTGATAGATTATGACTGAAAGAAGTTAGTTATGTTACTTGTGTGTTTTAAGAATTTTTAGTTACGCAAAGTTGATTGAAATTTGTTATGAATACACCATGTTAGAGATTATACTTTGAAGTAGTGTTTTGAACTTGTCTGGTGTGTAAGGATAACATGACATGTCTGGGATAGTAGATATGGTTTTGTTGTGTTAACTGGTTTTTGAATCATAGATTTGTCTCTATAACACATCTTAACGATGTAGCAGATTTGGTATTTTTCCAGAACGGAATGCTGGAGCCATGGTTCCAAAGCAAAGGTCTTGGTGATGCCGACCAAGTTTTGGCATACTTTGCAGTAGCTAAACTTGGTGAGCCCCCTACCGATGGTAAAACCGATACAAACCCCGAAGGCTTAACAGCAGCTTATGGGAAATGGGCATCTGCAGTTGCTTCAAGATTACTTGCTGGAGGCCTTTCTTGCAAGGTATGTATGAATTTTTTTGAGGTGACGAGAGAAACCCGTAGCCATTACTTGAGTATGCGCATGGAGTAAACCCCGCCTTGTGACCCTAGTCGGCAAAGGACTACAAGGAGGTAAACCAGCCTAGGTTGCCTATAGCTGACAGACTCAAACCAAGAGGGCCAATAGGCCACTCCCGTTGGGAGTTGAACTTGTAACCCAAGTCAACAGTCTGGCCAACTTGGCTGGGGTTGCCCCCGGTAATCCGGTATGTATGAATTATTAAACTTTATATACATTTTTCTTCTTTTCTTTTGGTTTCAAACTCCAGGTCCTTGACAAAGAGGCATTCGAGAAGCAAATGTTGGAAAAACTTATATGGATATGTGCATTCATGCTTGTTGGAGCTCGCCATCCCGGAGCAACTGTTGGTGCTGTTGAAAAGGAATACCGCTCTGAGGTAAAGAGTTATTCTCACGCAAATTCTATGCACAACTTTTTATCCAATCGTACCATTTATCTAACACCTCCGGATGCTAAACCTTGTACGTATATGGCCACTAAATACAATGATGTAATCGACTGGAATGGGATTAACATAAGTCGATTCTTTCAGGTATCAAGCCTTATTGCTGAGCTAGCAGCAGCTGCAGCTGCAGAGAAAGGCGTAGTGTTTGAAGAAGCTATGGAGGATAGGCTATGCGCTTACTCACGGGCAGTTGCCCACTTCCCAACAGCCGTTAAGGAGGTAAGGAATGTAGTCAGTTGCTCATAGGATACGATGCATATGTAATGTAACCACCTTTGATACGTGTTTACAACTTTGTACTTTCTTGTGTTTCTTGTCGTAGTTCCAATGGAGAAACGGTTGGTTCTATGCGCTGTCGGAGAAGGCACTTGCTGCAGGAAAGCCAGATCCATGTCCATTACACACTGCATGGCTCAAGGAAATAAAAGTTGTATAGAATATAATTGTGTGCTTTGATATAGAGCTGCAATTTCCTGTGATCTTTGAGGATGTAAATTTGAAGTTTGATCTTTGGAAGAATAAGAATGAAGACTAAGGTCCTCTTTGGTAAACAATTGGCCTATCAGTCAATTTTGGTTTATTTGACCACTATTAATTGTTTGATTTAGTTAAAATATCAATATAAATGTTTGGTTAATTAGCATTTTGCAACGGTAAAAGGCTAAAATTCAAGAAATTACTTTAAGCAACTTTTTCAGTTAACTTTTTGAGATGAAATTATACCAAACAGCTATCAGTTAACAGTTAATTTATCAAACACTTTTCTACAATCAGCTAATGTTATTAACTATTTATAACCTCTAAATCTCTAATTAACACAATCAATTATAGAACATCAATTATGTATACTAATTTCTTACCCATAATCTATTACTCAATAACTAATACTCTATAGTAATTTTATCACTACTGCTCTAATTTATCGGCAAAAGCTCTAATCTCATCACACTTCTCCACCAGGCTTGAATTAGTCACGTTTTGTCCACGCGAACTAAGTTCAATAACTTAATAGACAGTATTTAGAAAAAAAGGTCAACGTTCGAACTTTAACATAGGCAATATGAAAATTATGCTCAAAGTAAGCATATCATTTATGTGCACCAATATTTGACATTGTTTATCTGTTGAGAGTTATTGAATTATCGTAATTTACGTCTTCCAAATTTTATGTGTCCGGCGAAGCGTGGGACCCTTCGATTGGAGATTCAATTTTGGGAGAAGAAGAATTAGTCGCGTTCTGACTTTTGACTCACCAAAGCATAAGTTTGAACCGTGCCTCTTTCTCTCTATCTCTCTCTCATCTTTTGTCGAAGAAACGCATTGTCGAAAAGTGATACCCTGTTATTCTTCTCTTCATCCGCAACCGCAGCAAGGTACTTAATCTCTATCTTGTATGATTCCAATTTCGGTTTCAATTACTGTAATTTTCCATCTCTGGGCTTATTTGGCCCCTGCTACCAAGATTTTATCCTCGCTGTTAGCAATCGTCTCTGGTTTTCTATTAATTTTAGGGCTTATCACCTTAAAAAGTTGTAGTTCTTGTGTCCGATTGGTTGTAAATATTACTACAATGATATATGTTTAGATTGGGCAACTTTTAGGTTTAGAATTGCTGAGCTGTTCCGTTTGATCACCTAGGAAGGACTGGAATAGGAGAGTTTTCTGAATATGTGGGCAGCTTCTTGCCTTGCGTCATGCTGTGCTGCGTGCGCCTGTGATGCCTGCCGGACGGTGGTGTCAGGGATCAGCCGCCGCTCCGCTCGTATTGCATACTGTGGTCTTTTTGGGCTGTCGCTGATTGTTTCATGGATTCTTCGAGAAGTTGCTGCTCCTCTCATGGAGAATATCCCATGTAAGTTTCTTCCTTAATTTCTGATGAATATTTAGTGCTTCTTCATGGGAATTGCTAAAAAAAGTCTGAACCTTGTGATATTTTTACTAAATTAAGAAGATTGCTTAATTGTGAGTTGAAAGGGAATAATAAGAATTATGTATTTTAGAATTAGAGTTTTTTCTGATTTGTTTCATTGCATCTGACCTAATTAAATGGTGTTGTGTTTATCTCCGGGTTTGATTGTCTAAGATTTGATACTGTTAATTTTGAAGATTGGAAAGGTGGCTTAGAAAAACAGATAACATCTCCACCAGTTGTTGATATGTTGGGGCTTTTTAAAACTTTTAGCGCACTTTTTTGATAATGCTTCTATGAATAGCCTTCTTTTTAATTACAAATTGCTTCCTGCACATAAATTATTTTGCAGGGATTAATCATTTCCACAAAACACCAGATAGGGAATGGTTTGAAACAGATGCAGTACTTCGAGTTAGCTTGGGAAACTTCACGTTCTTTACCATCCTATCAATCATGATGATTGGTATAAAGAATCAGAAGGACCCTCGTGATAATTTGCACCATGGTGGATGGATGATGAAAGTCATCTGCTGGTTCCTTTTAGTAATATTTATGTTTTTTGTTCCAAATGAGCTCATCAGCTTTTATGGTAAGTCATACACTTCTAAAATTGTAGTCTTGCTTTTAAGCTTTCACTGTTATATTTGCTGTTTCTAATGTTAAACTGCCGTTTCTGTAGCAGTGAGTAGTTGCTTTATGATGTTACATATACTTGAAAGGTCTATAATCATTTCAAGGATTATAGTATAAACCCTAAAGATCTTCATTTACCTAATTCTGCTGCTTAGTGCATAGTAATATGAATGATGTCTGTACTCTGTAAGCTGGCTTAATAGTGAAGATTTGGTTCATATGCAGAGTCAACTTCGAAGTTTGGTTCAGGATTGTTTCTTCTTGTTCAAGTTGTCCTTTTGTTGGACTTTGTCCATGGATGGAATGACAAATGGGTTGGATATGATGAGCAGTTCTGGTTTGTTTATTATTTCTTCTCTTCCTTACTGTACTTCTTTTAATTATTTGCACTTGTTGAGTTCTAACCTTTGTCTGCCTTCGGTTGTCTTTTTGTGTAGGTATGTGGCCTTGCTTGTTGTTTCACTTGTATGTTATGTGGCAACTTTTGCCATCACTGGAGTTCTTTTTCATTTCTTTGCTCCATCTGGACAAGATTGTGGGATAAACACTTTCTTTATAGTCATGACTCTTATTTTTATCTTCGCCTTTGCTATAGTCACACTTCATCCTTCGGTAAGTATCTTGGATCTTGTAACCTGTATCTTGAACACTATTCTCCTTTAGTTGTGTGATGTTTCCTCAAATACTCTATGAAACTTATGTTCAAACGCTATGGTTGAGGTGCTTTGACTGCCTCTTGAATAGAATAAGAATGCTGGTAATAGACTTGTCTCTTGTGGCTGCTTTGGTATGGTCCGTGTTGAACTTGAACCATTGACCTGGTTCTGGCCCGAACTGGCTCAAACCTGCCACCCTTCATGGTCTTGGCTAAGAGCATACCTGGTGCCAACCTGACCCAGTGTCAGCCCAGAATCGCTAGGTTTAAAAAGGTTCCAAATTGCATGAACTCCCAGTTTGGTCTGGAACCTTTGGGTCCTAACAATGAACCTGAGCCTCCCATGGACCAGTTTCTTTTTTGACCTTCTTGGTGGTCTGGAACTGCCGGTTTAGCATAGACAACAGCTAGTTGTTATGTACATATGCACGGTCATACACACTTTCATCATGGTCATCCACTCATCCAGATACTATCACCAATGATATGCTTACCTGTAATAGACACTGTTTGAAAATATTGCTATTAAACTCTGTGGGTTTGTGATTTTCCCGACTCCCAAAGTATTGATAGACAATAAAAAGAAGAGAAAAATTTAGCGTCAATGTTTCATTAAAACCTCTTCTTGATTTTCAGTTACACTTATCATTTTTTTATTTTCTTCTAAATCTTTCAAATGCATAAGCGCTTAAAGATCTAACTAACAATTGCTTCTTGTGTCCGTACAATACGACTGGTGAATTCTTCACTAACAACTTATATTTGATACTATATAGGTGAAGGGTAGCATTTTCCCAGCTTCAGTTATATCTCTGTACTGCACATACCTTTGCTACAGTGCACTTGCCAGTGAACCTAGGGATTATGAATGCAATGCCCTTCATAAGCACTCAAAATCTGTTTCCACTGGTACACTAACCCTAGGGCTGCTCACAACTGTATTATCTGTTGTCTACTCTGCTGTCCGTGCTGGATCTTCTACAACTTTGCTTTCCCCTCCTAGCTCACCACGTGCAGGTTAGTTTCTGAACACTCGAGATTTCTTTGTCTGAGCTATTTGTTTCAACGACTTACAGAATATAAGATGATTACTGAATAATATCTGAGTTTGTGTTGAAGGTGGCGGGAAACCTTTGCTACCATTAGACAAGGCGGATGAGCACGAGGAGATGGAGAAATCAAAGGCTGTTACATATTCATATTCATTCTTCCACATTATCTTCTCTCTTGCTAGCATGTATTCCGCAATGCTGCTCACAGGCTGGTCGACCTCTGTTGGGGAGAGCGGGAAATTGGTGGACGTTGGATGGGCATCGGTTTGGGTTAGAGTTGTGACTGGGTGGGTGACTGCTGCTTTATTTCTCTGGTCTCTGGTTGCTCCAATTCTGTTCCCTGATCGGGACTTCTGAGCATCATAAGGATGTTGCATAGGAAATCCATATGAAGATAATGACTGAATGTTTATATATTTTCCATGACATTCCTGTTGTCTGTGTTAAAACATCTCCTTTTCATGACGATTGATCGACATGTTGGTCTTGCAAGTTGGACAAAGTACTTTTGATGTCTTAAATGGAAGTGTATGAAGAAGTTGCCAATATTATGTTTTATTTTGGTTCGTCTTACTGTTTTAGCTAGGCTGTCTGTCCATAAAAAATCCAATGATCCCCTAAATTTAACAAAAAATCAAGGAGTTTAGTAGACTTATGGATCTTGTGTTAAATTTGACATCTCTAATTTCAGCACATCACCCTTCAGAAGTCAAAATTTTGATCCCCTAAATTTAACAAAAAATCAAATATAATGTCCCATTTACTTTGATCAAGGAGGCTAACAGACTTAATGATCTTGTGCTAAATTTGACATCTCTAATTTCAGCAAATCACTAACAAAATTTTACAAAACGTCAACAGCAGGGTTCGAACCTGCGCAGGCGGAGCCCAACAGATTTCAAGTCTGTCTCCTTAACCACTCGGACATATTAACTTTTGCTAAAGGGGGCAAGAACGTTTATTATAATTAGGTTTCAAAAAATATCAAAAATCGGCACGGATACGAAGTAAAGATAAATTTACAAAACGTCGACAGCAGGGTTCGCACCTGCGCGGGCAAAGCCCAACAGATTTCAAGTCTGTCTCCTTAACCACTCGGACATATCGACTTTCGTTAAAGGGGCAAGAACACTTTATTTATAATAATTCTTGAAAAATGTCAAAAATCTGCACAGCTAAATTTACAAAACGCCGACAGCAGGGTTCGAACCTACGCGGGCGAAGCCCAACAGATTTCAAGTCTGTCTCCTTAACCACTCGGACATATCGACTTTTGTTAGAGGCGGCAAACACTTCTTTTTAAAACCTATTGTATGACTTCCAATTTTGTGGATAAATCCCATTAATTAATTTTTATTTTTAAATATGTAAAAGGCATCATGGCTGGTCCTATATGCTTGTTGAGAAAGTAGGGATGAACTAACAATTAGTTATGAATTAAGAGTGCGTTAAATATAATGGAATCCTAAGCATTTAGTAGTTTGTTGGTAGTCACTTATTACATTTCTCATTCCACAGATCTTCTTACTCCTATATAAATTTAAATCATCAAATTTGAAGAAAATCATTTGATATGTTATTTTTCACTTTTATTAGGAAAAAAGGTTATAACATCAACTTTCATATTATTCCTACACATGTTTATTATGTAAGGATATTTGAGTCCTTATATTAATTATTCCTAACAACTAGTGGCGAAAGCTGCCCCATCCTCCTCTCCCCCACCCCCTCTTAATTATATAGATGTATGTATATATGTACATATATAGCATTAACTTATATATATAATCTATATTTATGTCCAAATTACTAAATGTTTGAATAGCTTAGTTAGTTGAAACTTTAAACATGATGCATGTTACATAGCTTATACATGTTATAGGTTTGAATCTCACTAGTAACACTTGCCTTTTAGCCTACCATTCCACAAGACAAATTAAATGTTTTTTTAGCCTACTTTTTATGAATCATTTAATTAACAAATTAAATGTTCTTTTAGTCTGATTTTATGAATTACTTACTTGATGTAGTATACAAGTTTATATTATACTTAATCGTATTCTAATTAATTTAGAAAAACTTAAAGTTGATCTAACTAAAAGAAATTAAAATTAAAAAGTATTTGTGAATATGGTGTCTTTTATATTCAAATTATTTAATCTAATTGATTATATTTCATATTTTGTCATACAAAATTTTATATCATTTCGAAGTGTTTTAAAATTTCACATTTTCACCCTACTCGAGTATATTTTTGGCTCCGCCCCTAACTATCATGTAGTCTATAAAAAAAAAACATTCTATTGTAATATACAATGCATTTTGTATTTGAACCTTATTATGGGTGTTTGATATTTTATCATTGACATTTTTAACGTCATTTAAACTTTGCCTCATCAGATGATTTTCTGAATCCGCCCCTACTAACAACCTAGTTATTTCTCTGATCCCTAATCGAATAATTGAATCAATATTCCAAATAATTTGTTTTTGCATGAAAATTAAATTTAATTTCTTTTCAATTCTTTCCCACGAACCAAATGAGTAGTTAGAGATTATTTTTTTTTTTTGAAAGCGAGTAGTTAGAGATTAAAAAACATAAGTTTGCTTAACAAATATTTACAAAAAATAAAAAGAAAAGAAAACATTATCAAATTGAATAAGTAAATAATCGCATGACGTAATAAGGACTATTTATTCTTTTAAAGGAAACGTAACACTATTAATAAAATGGAATATGAAATATATATATATATATATATATATATATATATATATATATATATATATATATATATATATATACTAGTTTTTTACGCGCATTGCGCGAATGAGATAATGCCCAATGTTTTTCTTAAATAAGTATTTTAAAGTATGTCAATGTAAGATTATATTATAATTGTTCATGCATACATAATTGAATGTTGAATTTGCGTATTTAAATTGGTAATTCTAAGTTTACAAATGCAAGGTAATATAGTCAAAATTGATTATAATTGTCAATAAAATAATTGTATGAGTATGGTTAAAACTAAATACGGGACATAAGGAAGAGGAAATAAAAATTAAAGCATAACATATTAAATATACACTAATATTAAAAAATCATTATTAAAACTATTATTATTATTATTATTATTATTATTATTATTATTATTATTATTATTATTATTATTATTATTATTATTATACACTAATATTAAAAAATTATTATTAAAACTATTATTATTATTATTATTATTATTATTATTATTATTATTATTATTATTATTATTATTATTATTATGTATACCCTTAGGTCATTTTAAATGTTAATTTAAACAGTTAATTTTTTCAAATATCTTTTTACCAACTGTTGATATAATTCACTGGTTAAACCCGCTAATATAATCCGCTAACGCTAACCACTAACTGCTGATTGTCAAACAAGGACATTGCCGCAAATTATGCCGTGGAATCGTGTTCACCGAGAATGGTGAACACAAGTCAAAACGACGTCGTTTTTAGGCAAAAAAAAAAAAAATCGCGGATGTGGAGTTAACGGCGCGTTACTGATCAAATTATGAATTTTCTGTTATGAGATTATGAATTTTATGAAAATTCATAATCTCATAACAGAAAATTCATAATTGCATAACAGAAAATTCATAATCGCATAACAGAAAATTCATAATCGCATAACAGAAAATTCATAATCGCATAACAGAAAATTCATAATCTCACAACTGAAAATTCATAATCTCATAACAGAAAATTCATAATCTTATAACAGAAAATTCATAATCTCATGGTTCCAAAGTGAATGTGTAGGCATGGTTCCAAAGTGAATGTGCAGGCATGGATTCATAATTTATGAATGTCCGTGATTTCGGACGGGAATATGTAGGCATGGTTCCAAAGTGAATGTGCATGCATGAATTCATAATTTATGAATGTCAGAAACTCCGAAATTATGAATGTAATGAAAATTCATAATCTCATAACAGAAAATTCATAATCTCATAACAGAAAATTCATAATCTCATGGTTCCAAAGTGAATGTGTAGGCAGTCACGTAATTAATTAAAAGAAAAAAAAAAGATAACGGTGCACTAACACCGTTGGAACCGTGTTCACCATGAATGGTGAACACGGTTCCATGGCATAACGTCTGGGACATTGCAAGGTAGTTTCTCACTTCAATTTGTTGTGTGATTTGAATACTTTCTTTGTCAAAAAATTTCTCAAGGTAGTTATAATTGGCTTTATTAATTTAAATTTTTTCATGGTATTAATAAAATAATTGGTAAATAAATATATAGCATTATTTTGTATTATAACTTTGATATTAATTAAAAAATAGTACACAAAAAAGATAATAGACAATGTAGTGAATATAATCCATTGATGAATTTGAATGTAAAGAATTTTTACATTGGAGAAAAATAAAAACAATATAGCTAATGAAATTATTTCTCTTAATTAATTTATTGATAATGAATAATTTTTTTTTAAATAAAGACATTGTAGGGACAATGTAGCGAATATAATCAATTGATGAATTTGAATTTTGAATGTAAAGAATTTTTATATTGGAGAAAAATAAAGACAATATATATAACTAGTGAAACTATTTCTCTTATTTAATTTATTGATAATGAATATTTTTTTTTTGAATAAAGGTATTGTATACACATAATTCTAAATTAAAGAAATGTCTATGTATTATTTTTTGTTGTAGCTACTAAATTATTATTTAATTTAATAAGAGTAAAATAGAGTACTTATTATGCCCACTTTGATTGGGATGCGATTCTAACCTAAGACCTTTCTTATTGAAATCAATGAGTAAGTTAACGGTGAACTAACAGAAATTAACGGAAAAGATAATATTTAACGAAAAAGTTAACGGATAATCATATTCAAGGATAAATTAAGAAATATCATTGAAAAATTAAAATATGATCAATCTATGCCATTCATTTGATTAAAAAATTTGACCGCCATTTTTTGTGCCCATTATAGGTCTAACTCTCTTGGGCTCTTATTAGTATAGTAAATATATAAACTAAACTCGATCTCGAGATATACTATCTTAAGTGATAAAAAAAAAAAAAAAAAAGAAGATAGTGATGTTGTGATGGAGTAACAGTTTTTATATCATGGACCAACGAAGCTAGGTTTGATACATTGCGTAGAATGTATTGATTTCCTCTTCAGTAAGACCTCCTTCTTCATCATCACCATTTTCTTCCCAACCCAAAGACCGCAGAAATACAATCTCTTCATCTTCATCATCATCACTATTTTCTTCCCAACCCAAAGATCGCAGAAATGCAATCTCTTCATCTTCATGAGTGAGATCTCCTTCATCATCATCATCATCACCATTTTCTTCCCAACCAAAAGACCGCAGAAATGCAATCTCCTCATCGTCGTCGTCCTCATCATCATCATCATCATCCCAACCCAAAGATCGCAGAAATGCAATCTCTTCATCTTCAGTGAAATCTCCTTCTTCATCATCATCACCATTTTCTTCCCAACCCAAAGACCGCAAAAATGCAATCTCTTCTGAA